TACTTTATAAATTAGAAATGACTTTGGTTGGTTATTTACTTTAACCTGTATGCCACTAAATAGTATATTACTATATTTTTAATTAACCCTTCTGCTAAGCTTTTAGTTTTTATAAGGAAAGGTTTTCCCTGCATCACATAGTTGCAATTTTGGTAGTATAATTTAGGCAAATTGAATTATAATATTCAGTATCTGTGCCTTTTCTCTTGGTCTTCTACACATTCACTTGTGAAACCCAGAGTTCCATTCAGTACCATTTCCAGAGTATGCTAATACTTCTAACCAACTGAACACATCCACTGTTTTTATATGAGATTGTTGACCACCTGAGGAGCATGTTATGTCATAATTTTCCAGTCCATAGGAACAATATTCTTTGGCAAGAAGCATTTCAAAAGATATTCCTAGAATGAATGAATACACACACACACACACAATTTTTTTAAGGTCTTCACTGCTTTACCAAACTGTTTCTTATATTGTTTGAGTTCTAAGTGACATTTTCTAAATAAAATTTGACTTCATATCGTTCACTAAGTCAATTTGATTTTTGTACAGGTAGAGGTTTCTTTTATACACTTGTTTATTAATGTTTTTTGATAGTAACTTCCCATAAGTCAAAGAGATAATTTGATTTATTAAAAAAAGGAGCCTGGTAATATTTTTACCATGTTACAAGATATTATAATTTTACAGAGTATCCATTTGCCCTATAAAAAGTTCATCCTGATAGTGTATTCATTAGTATATTCCTTTAAAATAATTTGATATAGTTTTTGAGGTTTTATATTTAGCACTGTGTCAATATATTTAAGGTACATAATATATGCAACTTGAACAGCATAGCTCCCCAAATGTGTATGCAGTTATATAATTAATGTATTTATAGTCCTTACTAAAATACTTACTTGTTTCTGATCAAAAAGTTATACAAATGAAAGGGTGGCTCCATTGGTTTAGTATCTGACTCTCAGGCCATGATCTCAGTCCTGGGATCAAGCCCTGCAGTGGTCTTCCGGCTCAGTGCGAAGTCTGCTTGTCTCTCTCATCCTTTGCCTGCCCACCACCCCCCCACCCCAGCTCACACACGTACACACTTTTGCTCTCTCTCAAATAAATAAATCTTTTAAAAACAAGTTATACAAATGAAATTAAGTGATATATACACAAATACAACCAGGAAATAAAGGCTACTAATAATCTAACCATAGCCAATCATCTAAATATTTTTTTTCTATTTGTTTAAATATTTTAGTCCATGGGTTTGTGTGCATTTACATTAGGGGATGCAATATATTCGTTTTCATAACATGAAAGAATATTCTTACAACCTTTGGTATAATTCAGTACTATAGTTTTTACAATTATACATTATTATTTACAACTACATATCATACATATCATTTAGTCATTCACTTTTTGCCAGTAAAAGTAACATTAAGGTCAATAGACAGAGATATAGTTCTTTGGACACATCTCTGATTATTTCCATGGCCAAGTTCTATAATCAGAATTGCTAAGTCACTGAGAATTACTTTTTTTATGCATATTGCCAAATTGTTATTCAGAGCTTTTATACTATTTTATACTTATACTAACAGTGTATAAGACTTTCAATTTGGTAGTATCAAGTAAATTCTTCTACTTCATCAGCTGTTAGACTTATTATTGTTGAAAGATCTACCAAGCTATCTCTTTCTTTTCAATTTGCTTTATAGCATGGGCTATTTTGAGGCTGCAAATTAAATGATGTAGTCTTTTTTTTTTAAATGTTTTATTTATTAATTCATGAAAGTCAGAGAGAGGGAGAGAGGCAGAAGCAGAGGGAGAAGCAGGCTCCCTGCCTAGAAGGGAGCCCGATGTGGGACTCGATCCCAGGACCCTGGTATTGTGACCTGAGCCGAAGGCAGACGCTTAACCATCTGAGCCACCCAGGCGCCCCCAAAATGATGTAAAGTCTTATCTCATGATCTAAAAAACCCTTTCATCTGAATCTGAACTCATGAGATCCAACTTCTAGGAATTGCCCTCTCCCCAAAAAATGTGAACAGAGTTTAGTCAAGAAAGATTATATTCCCCATTCATTGGAACATTTCTCAAGTTAGATTTATTTAGATTTATTATAATACTCTTAGCTGGTTACCACAACAATTTAAGGACAGCAAATCAAAAACGAGGTGAGGTGGCTTCCATAGACAAGTGCTTAGGAAAAAATGAACTAGTGTAATAAAGAAGGCTCCAATATTTAGGGGCCTAAAGAACAGAGAAATTTATTTACCTTTTATGTAATGGTCACAGATAAGATCACAGATTATGTAATGATCACAGATATGTAATGATCCAGATTTGGTGGGAAGTTTTGCTTTACTATATCACTGAAGAACCTAAACTATAACTCTGTTACTGAGAAGGAAAGAGGGAATTTGATATTTAAAAGTGTCCATCCTAACAAGCAATACTAACAGGAATGACTGTTAGGGAAGGAAGAAACAGAACCTTTGGAAACAATATTGAAGTTATTCAGTGAATGATTAAATAATCCTTTGTCAGGTGTAGAGTTTGATTTTACGTTACCTACACGCTTATAACTTAACTTGTTACTGTTTCATGCAATCTGGCAGAATGCACACAACTCCTGGGTCAGGGACAAATCATTTTATTAGTCACAGCACAGTAAGCAGTATGAGCATCATATTTGCATTGGTTCTCCTTGTCTTCCAAATCCGGTAGAGTGACACCAAACGGTCCCGATGGATGCTACTCACACTGTTGGTTTGCCTCATAGCTCCAGAATATTCATCTTGGGGAATCCATTCTTTCATAGCAAGCAGTAAGCAAGCCTGTTCTGTGTATTCAGAGGAGACATTATCTTATTCCTCAGGATGGCATGCTACACAAACACAATTCTGAGAAATGGCTTCTGTCAGTAACTGTCAGGGCCTTGTATTCTTGGCATACCCAGCAAAATAGGTAGGAATATGAGACTCCAGTGAAGGGACTGTTCCTTCCAACACCCTTGGCACAGTAGCCTCTGTAGACATGTGTACAACAAGCAGATTCATGTTCTAAAGAATGAAAATTACATTCAGCATGGGGAGATTCTTTTTTTTTATTGTTATGTTAATCCCCATACATTACATCATTAGTTTTAGTTGTAGTGTTCCATGACTCATTGTTTGTGTATAACACCCAGTGCTCCATGCAGAATGTGCCCTCCTCAATGCCCATCACCAGGCTAACCCATCCTCCCACCCCCCTCCCCTCTAGAACCCTCAGTTTGTTTTTCAGAGTCCATCGTCTCTCATGGTTCGTCTACCCCTCCGATTTCCCCCCCTTCATTCTTCCAGCATGGGGAGATTCTTGATATCCTCTACTTAAAGTTTCAAATATTCTCTCTGCCAACAGGCACCTTCACAAATAATTATGGGTATATGAACATCCTTTGGAGGGACTGTAGAGCCATTTAGCGAAAGAGAGAAAAGACAGATGGATTAAGCAGAGTGTTATTTACTGAAAACTGATTTCTATATTTTATTTCCCCATGGCCTATCCTCAATTGATGAGTGAGACAGAGGACCTTTTCTTAAGCATATTACTATTGTATATTATACCAGAAATTCATGTAGCTCAGGGGACATATCTTTTGGAATGAATACTACTGAAATGGGTGAATCCTATTCATTCATCTTTTTGTGATAATTATTTGAATGATAGCAATACTTAGCTGTCAGTGGCTTCAGTAAGTGGGAGGCCTAATGGAGAAGAAAGAATGTTGCTCATGTAAGTTAGACATGAACTTCACCACTCACCTGCTCTTCTATCATAAATCATGATTTATTACTTTTTGGTATCTGTAGGAAGTGGTGTGGTTGCCTGTTAAGAGCAAGAAAGTGAGTATCAGAGGCTCTGTGTTTAGCTTTTGGCTCTGCTATTCAGTGACTTTTGACAGCTCAGTCCCACTTGATATTTGGGTCATAAAGATTCTCTAGAATCAAGTGAGATATAATGATGAAAGTCCTTTCTAAACTGTAAAGCGTTTCACAAATATTTAATTACCAAGAATTATGCACACTAGAGCTTTTCTCTGTTAGAGGAGACTGAAGAATATATTCTCTCTCAATGCCAAGGGCATAATATAGCTCCTAATCTGAACAATTTTGATCATCCTATATCTACTTTTAGAAGGTTTAATTAAAAAAAAAAAAAAAACTTAAGAAAAAAAGCCACCGTTTCAATCTCTTAGAAACTCTGCTCATGTGGCTCACTTTGTTATCTAACCATGTTGATAAATTAAAAATATTTTATTCAGCATTAAGTCTAAAAGGGTGGATTTGCATTTTATTGTTTTTTTATTGATAACAATAGTGATACTATTGGCAAATATAGGAATGAATGGCTAAAGGGGAAATGCTTGGTTTTATATGGTAAAGCACACTTGGAATAGGGCATAGAAGTTGAAAAAAGATGGAAAATATTTACAGGGTGGTATCTGTTTGTGTGTACGTATGTATATTTGTGTGTGCACAATACAAATGTAAATCAAAACTCATTTTCCTCCTTTAGCTTCTTGAAATGTTATAATTGCTATGAAAACAAAAGGAAAGAGATGGCAATATAGCTCATTACTTTTTTTAAATACATAGTAGGATTATGTACTCCTGTTGACTTATTCACAGTAGTTTCCAAATAATATTCTTGTCTTTTTACTATCTCCTTTATGTTTACTTTAATTAACCACTCTAATAGTTGATTGGCAATGATGGAAGTTGCCAGAGAATCATAAAATATTTCAGCTGGAAGTGACTTTAAGGATCATATACTATAACGGATAAGAAAGTAAAGTCCATTTAAACATCTTTAAGGGTACACATCTGTATGGTGGTTTAAATTCTTAAGATCATTCCTCCTTTTCTTACTTGTAGCAGTTCTCATAAACTCTTATGTGTTATCTTAGAGTTGTCGAAGTATTTTAAAGCAATAACATCTCATTCTCTTTTTAGGTAGTTATTAGGAGTAAAAGTGGAGAGATCTTGTATCGTATTTCACCATGGGCGAAGTATGTGACTCGTGAAGGTGATAATGTGAATTATGATTGGATACACTGGGATCCAGAACACCCATATAAAGTGAGAACAACAAATCTTTAATAAATGCTTGTTCCAGTATTTCTAGGAAAATTAATTTTTACTTTTATAACTTTTATAGTAATGTTCAACTTCTCTCTTCACTGCCAGTTTTGTATTTTACATCATAGTGTATCTGATATACTATACATGTATCAGAGTCCATCATCTGTAGCCAATAAAATACAGAAGTGAGTTCTTGTTTTATCATGTGTTTCTGAGGATAGGAGGGAGAAAGAAATCTCTACATACTGACCTGAAAGGGATACTGCTTTTTTTTTTTTAAACACAGTTTCTGATTCATCACAGATTCTTCAGTGATACAGTATTTCTCATTGTCATTGGTTTGAAGCAGGGTCCCAGTGTCCTTAGGAACAAGGCATAGGGAAGATACCTCATGAATGTATTATTTAGGGTTATTTTTAAGGCCATATCATTGTCAAGGTTTATATGTATCTTTGAACTCACTTTTTTGTATTCTAAGTTATTGGAGCTTGTTGATAAGTGCTTTGCATTTAATAATTATGTATACATTTTAAGCTGTTGTGTTTTCTCTAAGGCTCAATGATAAGGCATAAGCCATTTCATGATTACTCTTTTAAAACAGATCCATTAACATGATCCCAAAAAGGAATTTCTTTTCAAGAGAAAATTTCATGGATATAGCCATGGAATGCCTTTTATATGCGAAAGCAGTTCCAAACTATTTGAGTTGATTCACCATTTCATTTAACATGCTTAATCAGTTAGTATCATACCTGTATTTCTGATCTAATTCTTTATATAATTTTATATTCTGTAGTTTAAGCATTCCAAACCAAAGAAGCCAAGAGGTCTAAGAATTTATGAATCTCATGTGGGAATTTCTTCCTATGAAGGAAAAATAGCTTCTTATAAACATTTTACATGCAATGTACTACCAAGAATCAAAGACCTTGGTAAGTAATAACTGTGATTTTTATTCAGATAAAATTTTAATGAGTCTGTTCTCTTATTAGAAAAGCTAATTACAAGTGTCTCTTTTTTTGTGTTAAGAGATTAAATATGTAATAGAAATGCATTTTATTTTAGGCTTCTCAAATTGCCCTGTAATAGTGATAGCATAGAAAAGAGAAATGGAATAAGATAGAGCATAAGAATTCAAGATATTATTCCAATTTCAATTTTAAGTAATGTGAACTGATGGCTTCCAAATTGTAGATAAATATGTAAGCATAATTACTTTTCTACAGGAAGGAACTTTTATCAATTTAAGTGGTCATTGATTATAGCCTGTTCATTTTAGTCTGTTAGGGAAAAAAATCTTACATTTTTTTAAGGTTACTAGAACTCATTTTGTATCAGAGTCAATACTTTGATTCTGACCCTGATACAAATGTGTGTGTGTACATATATATGTGTATATATATATATATATATACACATCTCCGGTCTGGCTGACTTATTTGACAGATATTTATGGTGCATCTTTGTTCTAAGACATTGTTCTAGATTTTGTATGTTGGATTGTAATGACACAGATCCTTGTCTTCATGGGAACAACCAGGAAAGTTAATAGTGTACTGCTGAATTATTGATTCAGTATGCTTTAAATTTGTTATTTTTCTTTTTATTGGTAATGCTTTTTTATCATTTTACAGCCTGTTAGCACCTGCTCCAACAGCTAGGCAGGAAGATAAAGTACATTTAATTATTCTGCTTCTGGTAGGCAGTCCAAACTTTGGCTAGAAGAAAGGTTTTCAACTCACTGTTAAAGTTCTGTTATACATGGATCTTAATTGTCTGTAATGGTGAGGTCAGATTCCAGAAACCAGAATTAAGTAAATATATGAAGAATTTAATATTAATTATATTTAATAGGTATTATATTTAAATTGTCGTATTTGGGATGTTCTGCCATTTCATGCTGTAATACATTGTTTATGACCCAGGTCTTGCAGAAGGTTTGACAGAACAAGGATTCTCTTGTTCATTGTTGTGTTTCAGTTGAATAACACAGAACTCTGAACATAAATGAATCTAAGAATGAGTAATACTATAAAATTAATAATAAAAACTATAAATTGGCGCTTGATCATAAGAATAATATTTATTTCATAATAGAGAAATAAACTACAAACTCTGTATTTGGTTATAAAATATATAATTGATTTATGTTACCTGAGCAGGAGTTTATATACATATTTCTGTCATGATAGAAATGTGATAGAGTTAGATTGTTTTTATAATGAAAAAGCCAACAGCAGATTATGAAGCATAGTTTATGTTTTTCTTTAAATATGAATCTCTAAATCTGAATGTGACTTTGCAATGGTTCCACTATTAGTTCAGTACTGAAATATGTACAGGATGGGCGCCTGGGTGGCTCAGTCGGTTGGGCGACTGCCTTCGGCTCAGGTCATGGTCCCAGGGTCCTGGGATCGAGCCCCGCATCGGGCTCCCTGCTCGGCGGGGAGCCTGCTTCTCCCTCTCCCACTCCCCCTGCTTGTGTTCCCTCTCTCGCCATGTCTCTCTGTCAAATAAATAATAAAAATAAAATCTTTAAAAAAAAAAAAGAAATATGTACAGGAGAAGCCATACTGACATGAACTGGACTTTGAGAACAGAGTATTTTCTATGTATGTTACAGAAATGGAACTTTCAAAGCAGTCAAATCATATTTGAAAATTCTACCAAATTTGAAGGAAAAAAATGTTTCCTTAGTTATTTTTTTAAAGATCAAAAGTTTCTTCTTCTTTGATTATTTGCTTATATTAAAAACATATTAGTAAATGCTTCTGGGTTCTGTGTGCCCATGTGTGTATACAGGCAACTTTGCAGTACCTGTATATAGGCATAGAAATTGCAGAAAGTAGAAGACTTAATTCTGGCTTCGTAAAAGCTACCTTGCGGAAAAATGGATTTACTGGTATATCCTATGTTATATGGTAGAAATAACTAAAACATAAAGAAAAAGGTAAAATAAAAAAAAGTATATGGCATGCAACTGGTTACTTTTATTTAGCTTTCATAGTCTTCAGTATGAATATTACAAGTGCAACTGAAGTTTAGCATATGTAGATTGCCATCTTTAATATTCTAAAGTCAAATTAAGAGTATATTTGCATATCATTTATTACTTGTTAAAATGAAGACGTTTCAAATAGCTAGACTACAACTCTCAAGAACTAACTGTCCGACTTTGTGTTAGAAGGTCAGACAAGCAAAAGATATTAAAGTAGTAGAACTTTTCAAAGTGATCAAATCATTTATATGTAAATGATCGTATGTAAAATTTAATGTCTTCAGAACAAGGATGCTGTGTTTATATATTTTTTCATTTCTTTTTTTTTTTAATGTTGCTTTTAATCTCTGTTTGACCTTTGCTTGTATAGGATACAACTGCATTCAGATGATGGCAATAATGGAGCATGCTTACTATGCCAGTTTTGGTTACCAGATCACAAGCTTCTTTGCAGCTTCAAGGTAAAATGAAAGTCCCAATTCTAACCATTTTTATTTGAGAAAAAAAATAAAATAAATTTTTACCTTTTATATGATATTGGTTTGTAACCTAATTTAGAGTTAACAGAGTTAACAGAAGCTGAGCTTTTTTTTTTTTTTTTTTTTTTTTTTTTTAACTAAGATCATAGACTCTCTTCCCATCAAGCCTTAGAGGTTGGACATTGCTTTTCATGAAATGATTTCTGGTAAAGAATATCCAGTCAACCTGCTGAAATTGTCATGCATTTGGAGGCCCAAGTCTTAGTCAGAAAATCACGTCTCATGGAAGTCATTATTGCCAGAGCTCACATCCTTTTCTGGAAAGAGTTTGGCTATGTAGGAATGTGACTGAGAAGGCTCTTAGTAGAACATACTACTACAGAAGGATTGTCCTTTCCAGGCTAAAATCCAAGGAATGTGACTCTCTGGGCAGAAAGACACCAAGGAGTCCATGTAATTGAAGAAGTGCTGACCTAAATGACTGCAAGTTGAATAAGTCCAACGTTGTCTCCACCTCATGGAGCTCACACTGTTGTGGCATATAATGTTAATCCAGTAATCTACTTGTTAATCCAGTAATCTACTTGTTGATTTCATGATAAAAGCTAAGAAGAAAATGACAGGGTGCTATAAAAGCCTAGAATGAGGAATCTGATCAGTTTAGATTAGATCTGAACTGATGTTGGAACTGAGATCTAGAACATAATTAAGAGTGAACTGGGAGGGGGTGCCTGGGTGTCTCAGTCATTAAGCGTCTACCTTCGGTTCAGGTCATGATCCCGGGGTCCTGGGATCGAGCCCCGCATTGGGCTCCAGCCCCGCATTGGGCTCCCTGCTCAGCGGGGAGTCTGCTTCTCCCTCTGCCCCTCCACCTCGCTCATGCTCTCGCTCTCTCTCAAATAAATAAATAAAATCTTTAAAAATAAAATTAAAAAAAAAAAAGAGTGAACTGAGAGGAGGGGTGAAGTGGGAATAGGGAGATAGCTTTCCAAGCATAGAGAAAAGATACTGATCCTTTTACCTGTTTCTCTTTATAGTCATTCCCCCTGAGTAAATTACCTATATTTATAATCTCTAAATCCTTCATTCCTCTTCTTGCTTGAACTCATTCCAGGTAAGCTCTTCACCTATTCATTGAAATTGCTCTTGTAAAGTGTACTGATGACCTCCACACTGTTAAGTCCACTGATCAGCTATTAACGTGCTTGAACTGTCTGCAGCATTTGGCACAATTAGTTACTTGTACCTTTTTAGGACATTTTTCTTTCCTTGGTTTTCAGGAAACTATTATCCTCCTGTTTGGGTTTTTCCTATCTCTCTTGCTGCTTTTTATTTATTTTTTAAAATTTCCTTTGCTTTTTCTGACCACTGAATATTGGACCTCCAGGGCTTAGCCCTTGGTTCCATTCTCTTCTGTGTATGTATGACATATATTGGGGGTCCCATCAAGTGTCATCCACTCTTATGGCTTAAATACACTTCACATTGTCCTGGACTTTTCCCTTTCTGTCAGGACATTCCTATACTCTAACTATCATGAAACCTAACCACCTTGTATCTTCAAAATGTATCCCAAATCTGGCTTCCTCAACTGCCACCACCCTGCTCCATGTTGCCATTATCTATAACCTGGATTATTTCAGTAGCCTTTTAATTGGGCATTCTGTTTTCTCTTGTTCTCCTACCCCTTCACTAGCCTTCTCTCCCTCCATACACATGGCTACTCTCTGCATAGTGACAAGAGTAACCACTTTAAAATAAAAGGTCATGTTACTCTCTTGCTCAGAACTTTCTAGTGATTCCTTATCTCTTTCAGGTAAAAGTCAGAGGCCTTATATTGATCCATTAAGACCTCATGTGATCTGGGTCTTGACTGATTCTCTGGACTCATGCCTTTATTGATCATTCCACTCTGGGCCACACTAGCCTATTTGCTTTTCGTCCAAGTGTTCCTAGCTTATTTCCCCAGTGCCCTTTCTTTCTAAATATTCTATCTTTTAAATGTTCACATGCCTTACTCCCTTCTTCTTCCAGGTATTCCTTCAAACATTGCCTTCGTCATGAAACTTTCACTTGATAACCCTGTTTAGAATAGCAAACCCGCCCTTTCTACCAGCGGCTTTGCTTCGTTTTTCTTTAGAGAAGTTATTGCTATCTGACATCCCCCATGTTTTGCTTATTTATTTGTAGTCCTCCAAATAGAATGTAAATTCCATGAGGGCAGTGATATTTATTTTGTTCACTGCTGAATCCCAGAGTATAGAAAATTTCATGACACGTGGTAGATAGCTTAATAAGTATTTGTTGAAAAAACAAATGAATGAAATTTTAAGGCTATTTATTCTCTGAACACGCTGTTCACTGAGTAGAAAAAAAAAGGCTAGGTGGCTGCGATAAGGAGAGAAAGGAGTAAAGGGTCATAAATCTAAAGTTATTGGAAGGAGCCAAATTAAACAGTGCAGTAGGTCATGATAAGGTCCACAGTCTTCATCCTAAGGACAACGGGAGTGCAAGTATGATTTTAGTAAAAATGAAATGATCACATTGCATTTTTCAAAGACAGGTCTTGCTGCCCAATGGAGTTAGCTAGCAGGAGACCTGCTATATACTAAGGACTGTACTGTATCGTGGGAAACCAGATAGTCACAGCCCCTGCGCTCAAGTGAGGAAGTGAGACAATAATAATCACAAGGGCAATTGGGTGATTATTTATTTAAAAGCAAAGTTGATGCTATGGAAGGCCAATATTGAGATTTTACATAGGTTAAGAAAAGCCTTCCCTCTTAGGAGTGATTTGTTTTCTATTTCATGCAGACAAGAAAACTGCTGTTAACGCAAACACCTGTGCCTATGAGCTACCCATGTTTTCTGCTTGGGTGGTGACAGACATGGCACATTCTCTCGGCCTTCTGGCACCTGGGGGCATTCCAGTTTGGGAATAAGTAAGTGCAAGAGGGATGGTCTCACTCAAGGCACCAAGGATATTCAAAGAAATACTCTAAGAGCCCCCCCAACCCTGAGCACACACATTCACAGGGATGGCCAAGTATATGAACAGGGATGACAATGCTGTCCAGGCTAGGTAGGCTTGGAGAAGGAAATCAGAAGCTCTGAGTATAGAGAAACAAAATTTACTGCCTACCTACTCAAAATGTGAATTTTCACGGGGATGTAAATCTACATGCAATAGCTGGATTTAAATTACTATTTTTTTTATTGAATGCTTTTATAGAAAATATGATGCCACATTGACTTGTATCTAAGTATCATATCATATTGAATTTGCATATTTAAAGTATCCAGTACTGTACTGGTAAAGCAATTGATACACAATAAATGATTAGATGTTTGCTTTAAATATGATACGATTTTGTTTTTGCTTTATTCTTTACCTTTAGCCGTTATGGAACGCCTGAAGAGCTAAAAGAACTGGTTGACACGGCTCACTCAATGGGTATCACCGTCCTCTTAGATGTGGTACACAGCCATGCTTCAAAAAATTCAGAAGATGGATTGAACATGTTTGATGGGACTGATTCCTGTTATTTTCATTCTGGACCTAGAGGGAATCATGATCTTTGGGACAGTCGATTGTTTGCCTACTCCAGGTAGGTACATACCATATGGAAATGTCTTTGTTTAAAAAACATTTCAAGGAATATTACTAAGTTCATTGTGTGTGTGTATAGTCTTTCACTGGTATATAATTAATTAGTTCAATTATTTAAAATTTTACAAGGAATATTTAACACACTTACAGAATTTACCTTGTTTTGAATAGCACATGTATTTGTGGTAAGTTGTGTTAAATTGCAGTTTTACCAATCTTATGTCATTTAAAATATATTGGTTATATGGCCATTTAAAAGGATTAATGTGAATATTTTTTGATATCTAAAAGAATACTTTATTAGGTTGTATTAACTGTAGCAAATCTCCTTTTAATAGAAATATGTACATGGTTTTAAGTAGGCAGTTTTTCAAAATTGTACTTCATATTTTGCTATCTTAATAATATTGCCATGTTCTTGATCACAGCTAAATTAATATAACTTTAATAACAACTAACATTTATTAGTATGTAATATGTCAGGGATGATGCTAAGTGTTTTAGATACATTAGCTACATATTTTATTTATTCTGCATAGCAACTCTACTTACACATGGTAAGTCCTATTATTAGGACCACGTTACATAAAAGTAAACTAAGGCTTAATGTTGAAACAATTAAGATTAAACCCACCTCTGACTTCTTTTACCATTTAAGTAGAAAGGGGTTTTAGGTGATTAAATAGCATAATATGGCAAAAATATTTCAAAAAGTGAAAAATACTAACAGTTTGTATCCATTATTGATTATAAGTGAAAATATGAAAATACGCTGTCAGAAATATTAAAAGTAGCAGAGTATCAATGTATAACTAATTTTTTATAATATTTTTAAAAGAAATTTAATGAATTTTCTTTTGGATGTTGCATTATACATAAACATACACATATCTGGAAAACGAGCAGTATGGAAAAACGCTTTAGCAAGTACCTTGACAAAACGAAGATTTCTAATTTTTCAACATAAATTAGATGACTTTCATATGGAGGAAATTGTTCTGCTTTGCTCTTTCCTGAATATTATACATTGTTTTATATTTCATAACGTATAGGAATCACTCAGGCCAGACGAAGCCACATAACACATGAGAAAAGACACAAGAGGTGGAGTGGGTGGCAAGGTTTCAGGCCGAGTTTCATTCTGGAACAAATCGATTAATCATTCTGGCTCTCAGGTTTTTCATTATAAGAGGAGGCAGAGTTTGGGGGCTAATACAATTCCCTTTGCAAAGGTATTTTGTATTTGTGTCACCTTTTTGAACATTGCTTTTCCTACTACGGATTTATAACAAGTAAAAAGGACTGAACCTGTGCTAATTCTGTGGTATAACTCCACTCTTGAGAAAATCTTATAAACGTAGATTGTAGGCAAGTGATACAATTAACTGAAATCTCTGGTTCATATTTAGAGGAATAAGAGTTGACTCTATACTGCAGAACTGTGCCTTATGAAAAGCATACATTAAATGGTTCAATTTTTGTGTTAGGACAGTTATTCTGTAGAGCTGTGTCTTTAAAAAGAAATACTTTAAGTGTATGGATCTTTATGTTAAAAAGATTATTTTATTAAAATATTTATTATAGTGTGTTTTTCTCTACCTCGAGCTCTCATAGTCCATTAAAAGTCATCCAACCTTCTAAAGAAAAAGGATTATACATAATTGTTTTAAAAAACATTTCTTTTGCAGAAGTTAAGACATATTTAACATTTTATTTAATACTCGTTTTCTTTTGTTATGGAATTAACCATTAATCTTGCTTTTGGTAAAAAATATATATCATGATTTTGGCTTATTATTTTTATTATGAATAATTTTTTGGCTGCATTATGTCATATAGGCCTAGTCCTTTGTAAATATAGTTCCATTTAAAATCCATTTTATTAATGTTCTATTCTATTTGATATCTATATTTTCCAATTTAATAGAATTCGTTTTTTCTGTATCAGCTTATACTTATTGGTTATGACATCCTTATACAATATAGATAAAGCCTTACAAAGCCAAATTAAACAATTTAAATCGCTAAATTTAAACAAATAATTTTTTAATACTTAGGTTTCTCAATATATGAAATACTAAAGATTGTTGGACCAGAATTATTTTCTCAATACTTCGTGCAATTTATTAAAAGCTCTTTTGACAAAATTTATATTAGGTTGATGAAACTTATAAGGCTTTTCTTTTACATTTTCTTCCTTCTATTCTGATTAGTTGTAGCATATGTAAAATAACATTGCTCTGGTAGAATGCTAAAGCCATTTTTATAATCAGCATTCATGTTTAAAGTCGGATTCTGTTGTTTTGGTTATTTATTGCTGCTTAACAAACCAGCTCAAAATTCAGTGACTTCAGATAACAGCAGTTGTTTGTTTTGTTTCTAGATCTGCAATTTGGGCATAGCTCAGGCAGACAGCTCTTCCTGTCTTCTCGTTGTGTCAGTCAGAGTGGCTCAGTTAAGGGGTGGGGCTTTCAGTGTCCACTTTAAAGACGGTTCGCTCCCATGACTGACAGTCGGTGCTGGCTGTGGGCGGAGGGCCTCAGCTCCGCTTCTGGGAGCCCACTTCACAGCCTACTTGGGCTTTCTTACCACAGTGAATGTACTAGGTAACAGGACATGCAGGCTTCCACTTCTTAACGTCTGGGTCGAGAAACTGAGCCAACATCGTTTCTTCTGTAAACTATAGCCCCAACAGTTACAATTTCAAGGAGCGGGGACATGGACCCCTTCATTCAATGGCAGGAGCATTAAAGAACTGTTGTGCTATGTTTTTAAATCCCCACATCTTGGGGCGCCTGGGTGGCTCAGTCGGTTAAGCGTCTGCCTTCGGCTCAGGTCATGATCCCAGGTCCTGCAATCGAGCCCCGCGGCAGGTTCCCTGCTCGGCGGAGAGCCTGCTTCCTCTCTCTCTGCTTGCTGCTCTGCCTACTTGTGCTCTCTCTCTCTCTCTCTCAAATAAATAAATAAAATCTTTAAAAATGAATAAATAAATCCCCACATCTAAAAAGTTTTGACCACACACAGTGAATATGCCATTTCACAAATTCAAAAAAATATTGAAATACCTGTGTATGGGGAAATACTTCTTTTTAAGCCTTATTTCTGTGGTAGAGAGTTTTGTCTGAAATAAGCAAGTTTTTTAAAAATATACTTTTCATTATAAAAGTAATGTCAGTGTTGATAATTAGAAAGTATAAAAAAGCACGATATTCAAAATAAAAAATTATTATCCTTAATAAATATAAATAACATTCTTTGTACATGAATGCATTTAATGAATATAAACTCATTAAACATGCAAATAACACATGAAAACCTAGCCTTCACTAATATTCTCCCCATAGAGTAGCTACTCTGCCTGTAATTTTGGATTTGTTCCTTATCCAGATGAAATCAGAAGATACGTATTTTAAAATATAAGTTATTTTCCACCCCTTATCTTTGATTTGTTGATTAATATTATCCTCCATGGAAAAGTATATATAAAAATGGAACATGGTTTATGTAAGGCCTAAGCCTCTTCTTTGAAAACTTGTAATAATTTTTGAAATTATTATATTTACTGTTTGAGAAAATTAATCTTATATAGAACCAGCTTCTGTAAGATATGTTGCTGATGCTCATTTCATCCTATCTCTATGTCACAACCTGTCACCGTTTATAATCTCTGATTCAAGTGCCATCATCAAAGTTATCAGAATTAAATCTCTAACTCTGAGTAATACCAGAGATCCTGACTACGCTATTTCATTACCTGCTATGAATAAATTTCCAATCAGGAGCTGCCCATGTTTTAATTTTCTGTCTACTCGGCTGAACTGCCTTCTAGCTCTGCTAAATTACTAATGACAGTTCATAACAGAGATTGGGTTGTCCTTACTTTAGTTGGTAAAGAACTTTCTCACAAATCTGTCATCTATAAGTTTCTGAAGTTTTTAGAGTTAAGAAATAATGGATACAATTTAGAGGTCTCAGTTTTAAATTCTGTTTTGCATATTCGTCTGGCACTATGTAAATACACTTGATAAAATAACAAGACAGCTGCAAATTTGTTGAGTCTAAACAATTATTATACCTTAACTATTACTAAAGTTTCAAATGAGTACCTTTTCTTTGTTGAATATTTCTTTCAGAGATAAGATATTGAATCTCAAAAGAGATAACATAGTAGAGCTCATGCTCATATTTTCCCTGAACCTTACATTTGGATACAGAGGTAGTATATTTATTCCATCAGCATGGGTTCCTGATGAAACAACTCTTAGGTAGGAAGATACTCTACTGTTATCTCGAGTTACTAGAGTTCTTCTAGAAACAAAAATAAATCCAGTTTGTTTTTTAAGGTCATAATCGTGAATGGAATAAAATACTTCTTAGTATAGACACTATAATAATTGGGTTTTAACCATGATAGGTCTTTTCCGTAAGTTAGAATGTGGAAGGAAATTCATGGGGGCCTTCCCTGTTTAGAGTGGATATTTGTATCTTAAGTGGTCTATGATTTCATATGTTTTTTTCTTTTTTTAGTTTGTCAATATAGTAAATTCCATTTATTGATTTTTGAATGTTAGGCCGGTCTTGCACTCCTGGGATAAACCCTCATGAACATAGTTGCTAATATTCTAAACAAAATTTTAGCATATTTATATATGACATTTTATCATGACCAAATCAGTTCTTAATGATCCATCTTTTGTTTATTGTGCACTGATATATTAGCTAAGGAGTGATTAGCAAGATGTTTAAAAACTAAGCATCCAGGACATGAATAGCAACTTCTAAAATTATTATTTTAAAGTCATGTACTTTTTTGTGGTTTCTTAAAAGCAAAAAACCAAAAAGCACATGTCATTGGGCGAAATAATTTCACTTTTTTGCTGTAGTAGAAATGACCATGGGGCACCTGGGTGGCTCAGTCAGTTAAGCATCTGACTCTTGATTTCGGCTCAGGTCATGATCTCAGGGTCATGAGACTGAGCCCTCAGTCAGGCTCTACAC